TATATATATATATATATATATATATATATATATATATATATATATATATATTGAAGCTAAGGTCATGAAAATATTTATGAAATATTTTCGTAAATATTTATAAAATATTCAAATAAATCTTATAAATGTTTTGTAAATATTTTGTACTGTCTGGGTATCTCATTATTTTTAACGTTTTTAAAAATACTTTTTCAAATGTCTTTTAAATATTCTTTTGGTGGTTAGGAACATTCAATATTCAAAATTACAAACATTCTATTTTCGTTCTAAGAACGTCCAGTTTTAGTCCGGTGGGTCCTTAATTCGGATGTCTTTTGAACATTCATAAGAATAACAACGGATGTTTTTAAAATGTCCTAAAAACGTTTGTAGATCTGAAATGGACGTTTTAAATATTGTACGTCCACAACGTCCAATACGTACGTTTCAATATGTTTTTAAAACGTCTTTGTGCTGTCTGGTGTAATCTATATTGTCGTGGTAATTCACACAATTTATGAAGGCATCCTTTACAATGTAAAGGATCCGTTGCACGTTTGGGAGAGTGACTCCGTTCTGAAATTGCTTCATCCGGAATTATGTTGTGGTTTATATAATTCTGAATAAAGTCTCCATTGTTATAACCATGTAAAATCAAAGGGTAAAGAAATATATTGGCGTGCGTAGCATACACGCTCGCATACGCAACTTTCAATATTTACGAATACACGCGCATTTGTGCCCACACATAAAAGAAAGTATCAAGTTATTTGAAAACGATATGGTAAACATTCAGCTTCAATTGGTTCTCCGTTAGAAACACTTGCAGGGTCTTTTATATAATATTAATATATTTTTATATACTTATATATTTATGCGTTTCTCGTCAATTGTTAAAAAAACCATACAAATGCATGAGTAGATAATATGGTAATAACAAATAGTAATAAATATTGTACATTTAAAATAATTTATTGTGTGAGAATTTACTTCGAAACATCTTAATCGTTAATCTTGCAATGTGACCGTAAAGTTTTAATTTATTATAGAAAAATATATGTAGGAATAGCTTTAAGCGTCCCGGCGCTAGTGGCGCGCATAAAGTAGGAGGTGGTGAGAGTCAATCGCGTTGAGGCGAGCGAAGCGAGCGAAGTGCGAAAGTGTATGCTTTATATAAATATATATTTTATACAATCAGTCGTCTCTGTAATCCATCCGTATCCTTCCGCCGTAAGAACTATCCTACATATAGATGTTCGCTTGTATAAAAATGTCTTGAAAAAAAGAGAGATTTATTTTAAAAAAATATACTATCACAATTAAAAATCTTGCTAGTTTAGTAAATCTATATCTATACGGATAGCCAACTTACTATACTGCACACGAAACAATTTAAGGACCCAAAACAATTTAAAGACAAAAATTTTTGGATGTTTAAATGAAGTAAATGACGTCTTTTGAATGTAGTTATATTGTTTTTAAAATATCATTTTGAAAATATGTTTTTTTTCAATGATTTTTGTTATCTAGTAGCAAAAATCGAAATTACTCAGACACCGACGCACAGAACAAGTAATCAGATATCAGACTTCAGAACAAGTATTAAATAAATGCGTCTTAAATAAATGTATGTATTGTTCTTGCATATAGCTCACGACAAGTCGATATTGCTTGAGAGCAACATAAGCAACAGCTAAATAAAGTGTTAAAATCGCGTGTTTACTTGAATTTACGTAGATTTTCCACAGTCGATGGTGCAAAAAATTAATCTATATGTCATTTAGACTCCAGAAATTTTTTATATAGATTGGTCTCTAATTGACGAAATATTTTGTACGAAAAACGCGAACAATGATATGAACGGATAGTTTTTACGCAGCAGTATCTTTTAATTTTTTCAAAAGATACTAATGAACGAAGTTCATAACAATAACATGATCTGTTATT